GGGTATACCCAGTGGTTTGTGTATTATTGGTAAAGGATTCTACTACCAAGAAGATAATAACCCCAAACACTCATCCAACCTATGCAGAAATTACTTAGCTAAGAAAGAAGCTGATTTAATGGCCCCCACAAAGCCCCAATCTCAACTCAATTGAACAGATCTGGGATTTGATAGATCAAAAATTACTACCAAAAGATCATAGTTACTTCCAATGAAACTTTATGGGAGTGTGTTAGAGACATTTGGAGTAAAATTCCAAAGGACACTTTGATTAAATATGTCGCAATAATGCCTGAAAGACTGTCTGCTGAACTCAAGCACTTCCACTGAGTGTATATTATGAACATTAATAATATTTTGATGTTTCACCTGTGATTTTACCTTTGAAAGTAGCCTGAAATCTAATTTTGATTTTACCTTTGAAAGTAGCCTGAAATCTAATTTTGATTTTTGTGTGTTGGACAAGTTCATAAATATCTCAAAATCAAGTTCTTTCAGATATTATAGTAAAACGTACAGTACTGTGTCAGGACAAAATCAAAATTAGATTTCAGGCTACTTTCAAAGGTTTTAAAATATTATTGTATAATAATTATTATTAGAATCCCCAATATTAATTATTGGTCTCTACTAAATAGTCGTTTTTCTTTTGTTTCTTAAGCAAATTATATATTTATCAGTAGCATAAATCATAAGATGTTTAAACTGATCCTTTAGGCTAGGCATATATGTAAACAGAAACAATAAATTAAATATGCTTTCTTGTGCTCTCAGTATGAAATTAAATAAATATATCTAAAATTATTAATTTTAAGTTATTGGTCGCTAGAAGGCGCTAAGACGTAATCAGTAATTATATTAACTGTAGTCACTGAGACACAGCTATCACAGAAAGAAATATTATGATGATTTAAAAATAAAACTTGTTTCCCTTCTCATTATTAACACATATTTATGTTTTATTTTATTCTCGTGAGCAAGATACTTTTCATTGTCACGATTTAAACTCCCAATAGGCCTAAAGTTTGCGATAGAAACCACGTTAACTGTAAATGTTTTTTACTTACCAAATTCATTTTGATTTGTCCAGTGCGGATTCATTGTCTCTCAAGTTATGTCTTTTGTCCACCAAAAATCACTGCTCTAAGAGCCTTTCGTTCAATACCAAAACTTATCAGTTGGGCTGGACAGTGACAGACAGAAAAGGTATTTCTCAAAACAATTAATATATGCAGTATAATACTGTTGCGTCAGCGAGGTCACGCCACGTCCTTCTCGAACATTCATGAATTATCGGGAGACTACTAGATTGGGGGTAGTCTGGTATATATAAGACGCTCACAACGTGACAGAACAAGGTAATGAGTAATTGAATGTATGTGGACAGAATATTGTTGGCCACGTGAGACGTGAGTTATAGCGTTGTTATAGAGCGACTGTTGAAATTAAGTGTATCGTACAGTTGTATTCGGAAAGAATAAACCAGTTTTATTTAAGAAAGGACTTGTGCCGCTAAAGTTTCTTCGGAACGAAGTTACGGAAAATTAACTAACGACTGGAGGCGTAACAACTTTAAAACGACAAAAGCTGCGAAATATTAGAAAATAATAGGCCTAACACGTGTGATAACGTTAGTTCATAATTTCTCCAATGCGGATTTTAATGTCACGAGAAAGATTAATTTAACTTATAAACTAACATACCTCTTTATCTTATCAATTAGTTTTGTGTGAGCCCTAAAGAAGCTGTAAAGGCGATATTTTGGACAAAATAAGTTTCTATTTATGTGGAATAAATTGTCCGTTTTCTTATGCAAATAAATATATTCTCTAGTTAGCACTACAAACTATAAAAACCAATAAAAAGATAGCATTGTTATAATCGAATATATAATCTTGAATAGCGAAAGTGACGTCAACAGTAATAAATCGAAGTAATAATGGAGGGATATTTACAGTGTGTGGAATTGTATAACCTCTAACAACCACCTGTTAAGGTATGTTATGATGGTTGTATATATATATATATAATTAAGGCTTAGAAAAAATGAAATAATAGAACAGTAAAACTAATACATTTTCTGTTTTGCAGCCGTCCAATCATGCTATACTTTTGCCACAAATACGCACAAAATGATCGACTGTACCCTTGTGATCCACAAAAGAGGGCGCTCGTAGACAGGATGCTATATTTCGATTTGGGCACGTTGTACAATGCTATCTACAGTTTGGTAGTAAGTATCTTGAAAACACATCAGTGTAAAGTTGCAAAGAAATGACTTATTTTTACTTTACTAGTACACAGAAAATAACTACTAAGAAACATGCAATTAGATATTATATGTAGATTCCACAACTGTATTGTTTAATCCGTTATTGTACATTACAAACTGTATTGTTTAATCCGTTATTGTACATTACAAACTGTATTGTTTAATCCGTTATTGTACATTACAAACTGTATTGTTTAATCCGTTATTGTACATTACACAACTTTATTGTTTAATCCATTAATGTACATTACACAACTTTATTGTTTAAT